TCTCCCTCATTCTCCGCCCCCTCTCCCTCTTCTCCTCGCCCTCCTCTAATATCTGTTTTTGGTTGCATACGTGTCTCTGTTCAGGACTTTCCCTGTGAAGGGTCAGGGTGCATCTGTGGATGCTTGGTGGGATATTGATTATGTTTTTTTTTTTTTTTTTTTGGTTCCCTTTTTTGATTGAGTTGCTTATATACGTCTCTTCAGCGTGAGGGCGTTGGACGTGTGCAATGTGCAAGGTTTTAATGGTGGAGTTACTTGGTCTTGTGCATGTGTAAGCTGGCTGATAGATTTCTTTTCTATTCTGTGATGGTGACAAGCTGATAACAGTATTTAATAATACGTCCATTATGTAAATAAAAAAAAAGAAAAAAAAAACGGCCATATTACTGCATAATAAGAAGATAGTGCAAGGTGAGTGGAACAGATCTCTGTATATCTGCCTGAGCTTTTTTTTTTTTTTTTTTTGCTGTCTTAGCTTGTTATGTTAGTCCGTCAGACCGAAATGCAGTTCTCCTGTTTTTTGTTTTTTGTATTTTGTTTTTGTTTTTTTCCTCAGTTATGTCTAAATATTAACACACTTTAACAGTGATGTAATAATAAATAATCTAGGCTACCGGCCGGGCCGCCGTGGGTCACCCTCTTTTCCCGGGCGGCCTGGCCGTGCAAGGACTAGGGAAGGTCCCAGCCAAAAAAAAAAAAACGAAAACAATTATGTTACGCAGAAAAATAAACTGAACAACTTTTGCCTCAGGGTCACATCGAAATTCGTTACCAAATTTAAAACAAGAATTTTAATTAAAAAATATTTTTTATTATTTTCTATTGTTTTTATTTCTTTTTGGCCCGGCCGGGCAAGTGGATCCGGGCCACTCTGGTAGTCTAGATAATAATATAAGAAATAGCATAATTGACTTTAATAGTAGGAATAATAATGATAACGAGAATTACGGCCGTGTCTGGATCCGGGCCACTCTGGTAGCCTAGATAATAATATGAGAAATAGCATAACTGACTTTAGTGGCTACGCTACCAGAGTGGCCCGGGTCCACTTGCCCGGCCGGGCCTGAAAAAAATAAAAAAATAAAAAAATAAAGATTGTTTTTTATTTTAAAATTTTATTTTGAATTTGGTAAAGAATTTCGATGTGACCCTGATGCAAAAGTTGTAAGTTTATTTTTCTGCATAACATAGTTTTTTTTTTTCGGTTTTTTTTCTTTTTTCTTTTGGCTGGGACCTTCCCTAATCCTTGCACGGCCGGGACGCCCGGGAAAATAGGGCGACCCGGGCGGCCCGGCTGGTAGCCTAGTTTAATAGTAGGAATAATAATGATAACGACAATTACGGCCTGTCGGAAGGCATTTGGCTTCGAGGGCATATACTGATATGCGCACTTTTCTCAATGTATCTGACCTCAATTACGGCCGTCTCTGGATCGGAATGCATCTGGTTTTGAGGGCATACTCACAGGTGCACTTTTCTGAATGTGTCTGACAGCACCAGGTTCTGAATGGGTGTCCGATGCCCATGATGTAGACCCCTGACGAGTTCCAGTGAGATTGCGATCGGACAAAAGTTCACAAAACTAGTTGGGTCATCCGCCGGAGAGAGGCTTGGCGAGTGCACAGTGCCGTAGGGGCGCATTGCATTGCCTGTTTCAGTCCAGGCTCCATGGCCTTGTGCTTTATTGATACCTTTGTGGCTATCAATCGAGTCACGTTCCGGATTCTGACGCTTAGACTTCCGTTCTTCGATTCTTTACTCCTGCTCCTCTTCCTCCTCTGCCTTCATCCTTGCGGTCTGTCTATGCTTAGTGTCAGTGTCGTACGAATGACGTATGGATGATCTATTGAGCGTGCATGGTTTCGTTAGATCGCGGTCGTGAATGCATCGACTGCGTTATGATGGTTAGGTATCTGTCGTTGATGCTGATCTTGTCTGAATTTGCTAATGAATGATTGCAAAGAAATCCCTCACCATGACCTCTACTCGCATGCTCCGTATGGGCCCCGAGTCTCGCATCCTGTCTCTCTTCCTCTTTTCTCCCTCACATGGTTCCGAAGGGTCGATGCTACTTGTGCCAAAGTGGAGGCACCTCTGCGGGAGGGCATCATGGTATACGTCGTATGGTGATCTCAGTAGATGCCCTGACCTACACGTCATGAAGGTCACTGAGGCCATAACCGAGGCAAGCCTGCCCGCCAATTCATTGCCCATCTCCTCTCTCCGTCCCTCCCGTATTCCGCACCTAAGGCATCCTGTGCGACCCTCTCTCTTGGTCCTCTGTTGCACACACTGTGGGTCTGGTAGTGTGCTACGGCCACATTACGTGTGGTAGTCGTGTCCATGAGAGGTGTACACTCTGCTGAGGGGGAGACGCAGTAGAAAGGAACAGGGTCGACGTGTGAGGGCATGGCCTGTTCTGCATCGTGGGAATATCCGGCCCCTTTACAAATGCGGCATTCGGTCTATCCCCTACCACGAAATTGGAAAAAACACAAAATGGTTACTGAAGGGCGAAGCTCAGTGTATAAGCGGCGCCTTGTTATCACAAATTCAAGATAATGATCATACCTTATCTCGCACTAGACCCTTTTTTCAACCTCAACCCCACCTCGACGGGTGATTATGAGGTCCGGCAAAAAATGTCGTCAGCCTCCCTTGCATGCTGCAAGGTCCCCACCTCCTGTATAGTCTCCAGAGTCTAGACTGGGAGGACTAGCACCCGAATGTTCCGCTCCCTCATGTTCTTCCCTGTGGTCCTTCAGCAGCACCAGCATAATGTGAGCCTGTTTTCTTTTCTCTCTCTCTTTCTTCTTTTTGATGCCAGTGCACCATGCCACCAGTCTGTGTTGGGAGCAGCACGTGCTGGGAACCACACTTGGTGTCGCATTTGAACACGTAATTTGTAAAACAACTTGAGATCCCTGGGACCAGTACCCGGCGCTTTGGCTCACTCAACGTCCCCCTTTGTACACTCATTTAGGTCTTCATATCGTCGTGCAACGTGTAAGGGGGTTCCCATTTCTCCTGCCATGCTCAGTCGCCGTCGACTCCTCGCCTTCCCACGCTATGGTCCTTGCCACACCGCTGTCAAAACGACAAACGTTCGACTGCATGATCCCACAGAAAGTGGCAAGATGCATCCCTTCCTATGAATAGCAACAGATGCATCTGGCCACTTTTTGGGAAGATGCACTAGTGCTTTCTTGGTTTTGACAGTTGTGCGGCGAGGCCCTACACCGTGAAATCGAACCGCTCCATGTCGCCACTATCTGTGTCTCCGTCGTTGGACTTGCCTGATTTGCATGATCCCACAGGAAGTGGCAATATGGATCCGTTCCTACGAATCTGGCTACTTTTTGGGGAAGATGCAGTAGTGCTTCTGTTGTTTGGACAGTGGTGTGGCGAGGCCCTACACCATGAAATCAGACCGCTTCATGTTGCCACTATCTCTGTCTCCGTCGTCGAACTTGCCTGATTCCCTTCCACTCCTGGGTCGATGTCTCATAGCTCCGGCGTCTCACTCGTTTGGATACTGTCAGGGACGACATTGGTCACGTACGAATAGTATTTGGCTGCTTGTCCTCCTTTCAGCTCACAGAACTATCTAATGGCTCTCTCCCATTTTGCTCGTGGGAAGAAGCTATACCTGTTCCGCCGAATGAACACGGGCTTCTTCACAATAGCAATCAACAGACTGTTATGCCTCTTCACTCGAACGATATCGTACGTGTCCAATTTTCTCTCTCACAAGGAGTGGTCATGAACCATGTCCTTAGCACCATCTTTCGCGATTGCCTGCAGCGCGCCGTGCCGAACATCATGAAGTTGCAGCCACGTCCTTGGACAGCATGGATAAGTTGCGTCTACCCCTGCAATGTCGTCCAACCAACGGGCGGCCCCGCCAAGGATATTGAAGCCTCTTGCAATGTCGTCCCAACAACGGGGTGCCACCCCTCTAAGTGCATTGACGGAGATCGCGGTTGTCGAAGGCGTATAGCTGCTGCCAGGCCTGCCGCAACATCACAAGTCATGCTGAATACCAGGCCCTGCTAACATAAATGGGTCAGGTGTGTTCCCATGGTCACTGCATGAGCTTGCTGGAGTTGGACTGCAAGGAGACGCTTTTCCGATGTGCATCGAACAAAAAGAACGGGCATGGCCACATGAGTCGCCTGCCACATTGTACTAGCGTGATTGGGTGTCCACACAGATCATGACCTTGGCCCTGTCAGCATTAGCGAGTTGCGGCTCGGATGTATTAGCGTCAATTGTGGATCTGGAGTTACACGACCTGGACGGATATGAAGCTTCGATGTCTGTCGGTTGAAAGAGGCAGGTTCCATCACCCAAAGAAAAAAAACGAAGTACAAAAAAAAAAAAACAAATTTAACATGAAAAAAGGAAAATATAAAGAAAACG